TTCAGTTAGTTGCAATCTGCCACTTCACCGCTAGATGCCACTAAATCCTACACACTGGTCTAAGCTAATACAAATTCAAATCCATCTTACGTCTCTCCTTAAGCTTAAGAGGTGTTTCCTAAAAGCACTGTAACTGAAGGCATGTTTAGAAATGATCATAGATTAAAACTATTTTATATGTATAATATATATATATTTATACTTTTATATGAAAACTTTACATGTTTCAATTATAAAATAAAAAAATATAAACAAAACAAATACGTTAATTCAACAAATGATTTGTGCAATGGTTGGTTTGATCTGCCAGTACTTTCAGGTCACATATCTTCTGTTTTAATATATAGTGTGCATGTCGTTTAGCTCATGTTATATACAGTGGGTCTAATACAGAAACTATGACAGAATTACATGCATATTCATTAAATAATTTAATTATGAACTTTTAGGAATTTTTGTGTTCGTACTGAACAAATCCAAATATAAAACATTTGTTTGTGTAATTTACAACAGTTGCACTTTGTGATTTATGTATTTTGAATAGATAGTAAGGCATCTATCAATAGAAACAGGGCCCTGGTCACTGTTCACTGCGGGAATCAAGGGGACAACTTCCACTGGGCTCCCTCTGAGTTACTGTTTGATTAACTTATTACAATCTCTCTAAACAGTGTCCGCTGACTGTCCAGTTGACTCATACTTCCCCTGTAACTAGGCTACTACCTCGCACTCACAGCACGCTGCAGCACTGAGAGATTTGTGGACTTTTTTCGCCCTTGATTCAGTCTCATAGGCTGCTGTTGAATTGTGTCTTTTGATGCTTCAAATCACTTTTTTTGCTCAGTGTGCATAACTTAATCAATAATAACTTAATTGAGCTTTGATCGCTGACAAAAGGCCAGTGTAGAAAAGGTGTAAGCTTACATGCTAACTACTGCAAATGACTGCATGTAAGCTCAGTCACAAGTGATTCTTTAATGCTGATTATCACTACTGGGATGTTACAGGACTAACGGTAAATTCACTTTTTGGCTCTGCAGGTTTAAGGTCCGTCGAATGAAAGCTAATGCCCGGGAGAGGAACCGTATGCACGGGCTGAACGACGCTCTGGAGAGTCTGCGGAAAGTCGTCCCTTGTTACTCCAAAACCCAGAAACTGTCAAAGATCGAGACCCTCCGTCTCGCCAAGAACTACATCTGGGCCTTGAGTGAGATCCTGCGCTCTGGAAAGGCACCCGACCTCATGAGCTTCGTCCAGGCCCTCTGCAAAGGTCAGCATCACCTTACAGCAACAGACTGGACTGGGTTGACATAGCTCATATAAAAGTAACATAAAGTTGAAGTTGAACTTTCATTTTTAGTTAATTCTGGTCACCCCTGTGGACAAAAGCAGTACTGTTTCTACTGCCTCATTTCATTGATTTCAAGGGGAATCTGACCAAATCCGACCCAGTGTCCGACATTAAGTCTTCTCATTGATTGTAGGTCATATTAAGGCATCAGTATTAATTAATTACTTATTCATGTTCATGTCATCAAACTAGACTTCACTACTTACTATTATTATTCACTAATGTTAATATAAAATATATTGATATATTAATATTATAATATAATATAATATATTAATATAAAATATATTAATATTGATGAATTATAATCATATTTATTACACTAACTAACATTAATAGGTGTTTACATTTATTGACAAGCAAGCAAGATATTTACATTACATTGCATAACAGATACACTGATATTTAGTGGCAGGTATTGACAGGTATCAAATGTATTGATCAGTATTGACAGATCATTCTCTTTCTGTTCTCAGGTCTGTCTCAGCCAACCACCAACCTGGTGGCGGGCTGCCTGCAGTTGAATCCTCGGACTTTCCTGCCAGAGCAGACCCCCGACCTGCCGGCTCACCTCCCCCCTGCCGGCACTGTCACCTATCCTGGACACTTCTCCTACCAGAGCCCCGGGCTGACGGCCGGCCTGCCCAGCCCGCCCTACGGCACTATGGAGCCCTCCCACATCTTCCACCAGGTCAAAGGTCAGCCGTATGGCCCTCTGGAGCCTTTCTTTGATGGCGTCCTGGTGTCGGACGGCCCAGCGTTTGACCCGCCCCTCAGCCCTCCACTCAGCATTAACGGAAACTTCTCGTCCTTCAAGCACGAGGCCGCCACAGCGTCTGACTACGATAAGAGTTTCTCCTTCAGCGTGCACTACGGGGGAGGAGGACCTGGGGGACATGCTGCCATCTATGGCAATGGGGGGTCCAACCCACGGTGCGGTGAGCTGCAGGTGGACGGGCTGATGGGCTTTGATGGACACTCGCACCACGAGCGGTTGATGAACGCCCAGCTGAACGCCATCTTCCACGACTCATGAGGAAGAGGAGGATGAAGGACTGAGAGGCTGATGAAGATGGAAGGACGAACAGAGAGACCGTTATATGAAGAGAGAGACAGTTCTGTGTATTTCTATCATTTCAAAGCTGTCTTTCTTTCTGTCTTTTCTTCTTCCTGTCTGCGTCAGGCTCTACGACTCCTCCTCAGTGTGGTCATAAAGACGGTGATGTCGATGATGATGTCACGTTGATGATGTAACCTTATTTGTAGCTCTTCATCCTGCAGGAGACGCTCTCTGAATGTCTCGTTATTGTCCATATTATCACTTAAAAATAATCAATAAGCAATAATCTGGAGGAAACTATGCAATTTTGTTAAAACCTGAGCTATGCTCAGCTGATAATTCCAAATGTTGAAAGAATAAAGATTTCTCTATTTTTTGGTCAGTGTGTAAGGCGCTGTTGAGCCGGCGTTGGGCCGGTGTTGAGCCGGCGTTGGGCTGTAGTGTTCATGTTGTTCATGTGATTTTTACATTTTGCTTTTTATAACGTTCCTGTAGCGTTGTTAACATTTCATGTGACTCTCATATTTTATAAAATAGATGTTTATAAAGGCCTTTCATTAAATGAATTCAATGTGACTCATCTGAGAGACTCTGTTTATCAGCAACAACACAACAAAACAACCAACCACCTGTGTTTACTGTGGTTGTATCCACTTCAGTCAAATTCAGCTCTATTCATAATGTTTAAAAACACAGAGAAATGGAAGTGTTCAGATAATAAAAACTGTAATATTTTAGTCAATTTACATAAAAAACCTTTTATCTCTAGTTTTGATCATTTTAGAGCAGTTTTAGAGCAGCTGCTGAAGATAGACTTCAGATTACGTTTGATTTTAAGCCTGAACGGGCCGGCAATGACTAATAAGAGCCAGGCAGAATTTCTGCCAGATCAGCTGTTTGATTAGTTGCCCAAAAGATCAACAATCTGGCTGTTGAGTGATCTGATGTATTTCTGGTATAGAGAGGAAACGATTAAGTGAGTGTAAAAAAAAAAGTCCCCTTTTTTAGCATTAAACACTCAGAATGTCCTTATTTCTACAACACCTTTAAAGCATTCATTAAATGTTTATATACTGCTTATAAATGCTAAATAGCAGGGTTGAACTAAAGAGTGTTAATCTGAAACTATTTTATAATAATAGATTGGCAATTTTTCAAGCAACGACACCCAAATTTCCCTGGTTCCAGCCTTTCAAATGTGAATATTTAATGGTCTTCTTGGTCCTCTAACAAAATATCTCATGAAATTTAAACTTGTTTATTGCAGCTCATTCTATAATTTTGGTCAGCTGTCGTGTAGTTTGAGCCATTCCCACATGACTGTGGTCGGTTATAAACTGTAGTGAGCTCATTTTAATTTTACTTTCAAGTATTAACTTTAAGATGATACACCAACCAGCTCACAAACATGCTCAGGAAATTCACCAGCTAAAACAATATTGCAGGTTGACATCTTGGAGATACACGGTTACCATGTGACAACAGTATTATTTAAAGTGGATTTTAGGCTTCAAGTTGATGAACACTTGATGAGAAAACAGATATCCCCTTACAGAGAAAACCCTGTTAACATGTTAACAACATTATCACACCGGCTGAAGGACAAAACCAGGATTCCTGTGTGTGTGTGTGTGTG